TTTTATTTTATTTTTGTTGCACTGAATCTTAACATTCGAACCTCCCGCAGTGCGATTTCCTTCCTGTAACGGGAAACCTAAGCAGAAAGCTTCTTTTGATCCATGAAATCCATTTTGACTGCTTTTGCAGCCGTATCCGAGCCTTTGAGAAGGGTATGAGGTACACTGAATTAAAGCGCCGCACGTGTTCTGTTCTCTCCCCTTCGTGAATTTCTCTGAGCTACACTTGCTGGCGCGTGATGGACTTCACTGTGCTGGGATTTCAACACTGTTCTGTAGTGAGAATTTTGAAAAGCTTTTTGGGTGAATTGTACCAGCCGTTTTTTTTTTAACGGCTACAGCAGTTCTTTGGTGTATCGAAAGAATGTACAGTGTTTTGGAAGTTGAAATCATTTGACAGAATTTTAATAAAGAGCCTGGTAACATGGTACATGTGATCTCTTTCTACAACAACTTTCAAGGGACCAGAAAAACTTTTTTTGTAGAAAGATTGTTGTTGTAGAGAGCCCCTGTAAAGTGGGGAGAGAACCACATGCGACCAAAAAAAGGAGTTTTTGAGAGAAAGTCGTTGTGGGCAAAGATTGTTTTACAGGTGGACAGTATAGAGAGTCCACCTGTAGGTATGTGTCACTTGAATCAGACCATAAACTAAATCACAACCTGTTGACACTTCGACACTAGGGGCTGTGAAATTATTGACACGCTCGCGTAAACCCAGGAAAATTACGATCTGGGAGTGCCAATGAATTAATTGAATTGCGAAACATAGTTGTGGCTCTTCGAGGTACGCTAATAGTATTCACGCGAGTACAGTACCTATCCGCAGGTTTTTATTTTTATTCTTCGCACAATTGTGAGGAAAAAAGAAAGGTGTTCGTGTTGGGCAAGTATAACATCTTTCAGAAATTCTGGTGCGTATCTTAGGTACAGGTGAGTCACTTGCTAGAAATTTTGAATAGCGCGCACATTTTTTGGAGCTGAATTCAGATCAAGAAGTTTCAAACAACTGAAGTACGGCAGATCCGTAGATGATGATGCTCTATAAAATATAAATTCAATATTATTTTAACTCATGTTGAATTCAGGTCTTAATTAGAGCTTCGGTGTAGTTTTCGTTCAGTAGTGAAAATATTCATGGGCGCTCCATTGGGTTGTGTGCGTGTCAGTTAGGGGATGCCATTTTCTCCAAATTATAGGCCTAACATGTGATGTTCGTGTCTTATTTTGGGGTGCGTTGTACTAAAGTTAATTCGGTATTGAAGATTAGTGTACTTGTACCTTTGTGCAATTTTGTATTATGTGTTCTTGAACGTGAATGCTTTGCTACTGGTGTTTAACATACCAGTATGAGTTGAAATTATTTTCTGACTTGAATAACTGGCGATCGACTCTTGGACTTTCATCCCTTTTTACTCTTCGTTAAGTTTGTGTCAAGGTTATAAATTTCTCTCTAGTGCCCGGAAAGGGGGTGGGGGGTGTCGTGACGAATAGCTCACGTTGATAATTTTATCTCAACCACTTAGTAACGCTTGCGACTGTCGTGGTCTTCGATAAGAAAAGTTGGTCACGAAGAGGTACTTCCTCCAGTCTAGGACACGTTTGGCCTCCTATGTGGTGGGATAGTTGAATGGAATATGCTTTTTCGCTTTTGCCTGCGAAGTCACCCTGTCGTAATTCTCTCGTCGGGGAGTCGCTCGCATGCGCGCAGTTGGTGACTAGAGAGATAAGGGGGAGGATTCCGATACGGATAGAACTAGAGGGTGGTGGTGGTGGTGGGGATGAAGTAAAATAAAAGTAGGATCGGTGAAGTTATGCTGACTTGCTTTCTTGTGCTTGGGCGAAGTTTTTACGTGGAACCTAGGGGTGGGAGAGAATGACTTGACTCGACTACGTATCTTTCTCGTTTATCGGCCCGACGTCGTTTGCGCTTTGTTGGCTTCGGGTGAGATTATGCGGTGATCAACCAGATAGGGGTGGGTGTGTGTGTGTGCCTTATCTGTTTTTGCATGTCTTGTGAGAAGTACAAAGAGAGGAAGGGATAGCGTAGCTTGAAAAGAGGGAGAGAGAGATTGAGTCAAAGTAGAGAACTTGCGGTTTACTCAGCTTCCCTACCCTCCCCTTTTTTGCCCGGACTTGAAGCGTGACGTGGCATTTCCGAGATGGGGGAAGAACCCGTGTCCCTGCCCTTTAAACTTGTTTTTTTTTGTGCAATCATTTTTTTTTTTGGCGACACGTGAAATCGGGCATGAAGTACCCAGCGGCGTGCATGAACTCGCAAATTTTTCTGCGGCCCCACTGAATACCCGAAGACCATCTCGGTAGATTTAATCGGTTGATGATGTACGATTTCACGCTGTAATTCGCGGATGGTGGTTTCGTGAAGTACACTAGTACAGTACTTGCAACTGAAACGAGGGAAAAATTCTGGGAACCTTTTTTTTTGTGGATCGGAGTGCATCGAACCTGACGATGCCAATCTAACAACAGCCTTCTCCGAATGCGTCCGACGCGAAGTTGTGAACGATTCCATTGTTATTCACGGGAACAAGGGGTTTCTTTGAAGTCCCTGAAAATCTTGTGTGAAGATAAAACATTTTTTTCCAACAATATTACGTGAGTTACTGAATTCGGATTCTCGAGGTTAATATTTTCTCTGAGGCCATTCTCTCCAAATTTGAGCAGCGCGTTGAAAATTAAATCTTCCGTCAACGAAAACTTGGCGGAAACGGATCGCTGGAGTTCTTTTGACTTGAAAACATTTTGTGTCATTCGTGATTAGAAAGGGAATCATTTCCAGCTGGAAAATACAGGTCTTCCCCGAAAATGTTACCAGTCGTGTGTCCGGGTATTAATATCCAAGCACACATGCTACGACAGTGACAGCATCGTTTTTTTTTCTCTCTAAGAATGGGATTATTATGAGACCTTTAAATTATCTTTATACTGTAATGCAGAGTAAATTATCAGGGGTTTGAAGGAATGAGTTGAGAAGAAGGAGCGATTCTTTTGAAAAGGACGCATATTCGATACGGTCTCCAGGAATATTATCGGAGCTTAATCAATGATCAGTTTATTATTTTTTTGTTTTGAGAAATAAGGGAGGAAGTAATCGAGGTATTGACCGGGATGTTCTGTATCCCAGGTGAATGTAATTCCGTTTCGTACATTTGCCTTCGGCTGGGAACTGGATTATTATTTTATTTTTTGTCTACGCGCACACGGGTTTTGGGCAATTTTCGGTAGTCGTGGAAAGTCAAGGGATGGTCCTGGGGCAGGTTCTTCCCTCAGGGACCATAAATTGCGGTAAAAAAGAAGCAACCCAACCGGAAGAAGCACCGCGGGAAATTTCAATATGGGTCCAGGCGATCGAGTTCCCTATGCTGAGGTTTTATTCGTTCTTTTTTTTTGCCATTCTTTCCACGACGGAGGGACGTGGCATATTTCATGCAGGGGTTTTGCTGATGATGGATGGCCGTCTCGCGGTGTTGAAGCGGAACGGGAGTTGATTTCCGTCCGGCTAGCAAGAATGTGTTTTTGTCTTAGAACGGAAACCTTTTTTTTTTTCTCCGTCTGGCTTTTTTTGCTTCTTCCTGCGTTTTCTTTGTTGTCTGTGTTTGCCTTAGCGAGCGACTGTTGCTTCCAAGTCCTGGGCAGGAGGCAGTCGGGATGTTGGTGGGGCAGTAATGACACGGTGCGTAACCCGTGAAATCACGGGCTCGCGGAGCACCGATTTTCCATGCCTTTCTTGTCCCGGGTTTGCGGTTTTCTATATTTTATTTCCCCTTCGCTTGGATTCGCAGTTTCAGTTCCTGGATGTGTCAATGTTTTTCTTTTCCCCTTCTGGAAAGTCGTACTGATGATGCAGCTGTGCTTCTTTACGAGGCTTTAAACAAAAGCACTTCTTTAGGTAATACAGTAGTTTTAATCTTTATGCTCAGATCGAGGTTGAATTTGTTGCCTTCAATCGGGTTGAGTAAAGCGAACAGAGCAGCGCAAAAACGTGCAATTCTGACAGTTCTTACGTGAACTCATAGCTTGGGACTCGCAGGTTTTGACGCTGCCTTAAAAAAAGGCCTCACTAACTTTTAGAGTTAAGAACTTCAAACCTTCTCTTGAGCACTTAAAGTCGCAAGTAGGTTAAGCAGACATTAAATAAATTTTAATAGTCATCTTAAAATTGTGAGTCCTCGAACAGCGTAATAATACCCCGTTCTCGAAGTGTGTTTCATATGTGAGATCCGCATAGTAACGCTTTTTAGTTCAAGCACCGGAATGCGTTACTTTTGACCGGTCATTCACATGACTCGGTTTACTTTCTGTTTATTCCGGTCCTGCGCGGTCAGTAACCCTTTCCGCGCATACATTGTCTATAAAGGAGCGTCCGAACGCTTCTTTCTTCACTCATTGCTGGTCTGGACTGTTGTTGCGCTGCATCAGAAATATACGTATTGAACCGAAAGAGAAGTTGTGCCATTTGCTTTACTCCGGTCATAAGATTAAAGCTTCTCGACAAAGATTATCTCAACGAGTAATCATCGGATAAAACTTAAAGATCTGAAAACAGGAAGACATTCTTGTTCTGTTTCTTACAAGGTTTTATTTACATCCGGCAGTTTGGGATAACAATATATAGAGACATGGAAAATCAGTTCGAAAGAAAAGTATGTGAAGGTTTTATAAACAACTTTCCCATGATTTCAACGAGATATTTTAGTCAAGTTTTTTAAGGGTAGAAAATATGTACTGCTGTACTGTACGAGTATATTAAAAGTCTCAGCGACATACCATTGATCCGCAAGGACGCACATTAAATTGTTAATGACCAAGCTACTTGCATCATCTTGTTGCATTCTCTTTGCCAAATTCCACAGTAAGTTTTGCCGAAGGAAAATTCAGGCGCTTAGAGGTTTACGTAATGACACAGCCCACAATACCAAAGAAATAAATGACCCTCATTTCGCGTCGAGCAACACGAGTAGAAGGCCTCGAAAAGTCGTTACTCAGAGCTTATGGGCGGGAAGCAAGCCGAAATTTGCATCTTTATTATTCCCATCACGTACGGAAAAATATTCACTCACGGAAAGTTGAGCTGGTGGGTCCAGGAACGAGTTGAACATTTGCGTGAAATTGGGTTTGAGTCGGACGAGCGGGACTTTCAGTTCCCCAAGGGCATCACCTCTATCTTCATCTGCAAAAAGTTTCGGTTTTCAAGCGAAATGGCCTCGGAAATGAAGTAAAACGATGTTATCTTCGCGACTATTTACATACGCATGCAGTTCTATGAATCCAGGAATAACCACGTTATTGAGTCTAAAATGGTCTTCGATTATTGCCTCATAGCAAAAAGCCCGTTCATTTTTGCTCACTATTGAAAAAATTCTGAGAAAAAATAATTTTTCAAAACTAGATATGAGGCAATCGATCTCAACAAGTATATATTGGCTGGTGTGAAAGAAGACCGACCAAGTATAACGAATCTATCTCTTGGAAAAAATAAAAATCTTTCCACCAAGAAATACAGGACAGTAATTTATTTGATTACGTCTAAATAGGCATTGAAATACTATACAATAAAATCGAATCGTCCAAGATCACAATTACAGTAACTTGTTTTTGAGTGCAGAAGAACATTCAGCAGGAAATTAAAGTACAGTACTGCACTTTTGAATCCATAGATGACCAGCAATTCAAGATCAAGTATGTCTTGCTCATTCTTCACATCGAAAAATAAAAACAACAAATTTAGCAGGATCATGAGCACCCCATGTCAAATTACATTAATTTCCTTCTGCCTGGTCCAACCATGGGTGAGATCAAAATTATGAGCTCTTCCATTTTTTTTCAAGGTCTCTGATTACTACTGAGTGCCAAAAAATGAGAGAACACGTTTTTACGAGATGCTTCTGTGCATGAAAAGTCGTAAAAATAATAAAGTGAGTCGAAAATCTATAAAAATAAAATCGGCGGACTTCGTATTTTAATCCGCACGGGAAGCAAAAATGTTTTTAAATGTATGATTAAAGTAAACGGTTTCACTATATATATGCTGAAATTTATGCATTTGACCAAAAATTATTCAAGTTACTCACCGAGAATAACAAAACGCACAAATGTGCGTGACATGTCAGTTTCCATCACGTTGTGAAAAGCTATGCTCTCGTGGAATTCCGGATTCGCTGTTCTCTGCGATGTTTTTGTTCTGAAAACCGATACCTGAAGTGGAGAAGATAAAAAAGCAAAAATAATTATTTTTTTCATGCATCGAACATTATTTTAGGACTAGCTTTATTCACCTTGCTACCGATCAACGGAGGAACAAGTTCAACGGTGACGAAGGGGTCAGATAATCCCGATGAATCCGTCGACTGAATATTCTGAGAAAATTGGCAGAAAAATTTTAAAAATTTCACAGTCACTCAGCCCGAATAAAATGTTTAATTTTTTTCTCCAATGAGGATAAATATATGATAATAGTAGACGATTTTAGGGGAAAACAAATCCCGAGATACTTGTTCACCATTGACAAGAACTGCCTATTTTAGGTCCTCGTGAACCCTCAAGTAATCTCACGCGGACACGCAATATCTTTCCATTGTCTGAGTATAAGGTGAATGAAGTAATAAAGTACAACCTACCCTGGCTCGGTAAACAGTGACCAGCAACCCGTGATTGTTCACTTCGTATCTGAGAGAGAACTCCAGCGAACCCAACGATCCTGCAAGAAAAACAAAAACGGGTAGATTTTGGCGTTAAACCACGCAAGTTTCATGTTTGATCAACCGGATTAAATACGAAGTTTCCTCTGTTATTGGTGCTCATGAATTTAGGGGGAAAAAAACGTGTAGACAAAAAAAAAAGCTTTGCGAGAACCTAATCGGTTTAAAATTCTGAACGCATGAAGAAACTTTCGTCTCATGTACAACACCTAATATTTTTCGTTTTCAAAGAGAAAGTATTTTTCCAATGATACAGTTGAACTGAAAATCAAATTTAACAACATCGAACATCTCATGCACAAACTATACGATAAATTATGCATTTTATTAATTTTGAGGACAGGGATAGCCTCATTTCCGTCGTCGAAGAGCAGCTTAATCAGCGAAAAATTAAAATTTTAAGAATAAAATAAGATAAAATTTTTGAATGATTGAAACTCCGTCGGATCTACAGTACTTCAAAAGGTCTCAAAACTTCTGAGCCAACCCTCGTAAATACATACTGTATATATATATATAATTTTTTTTGTTGAAATATGGATGTTTCCGGTTTATCGGAAACTTTCGTGCCTATTAACAGACGTGACCTTTATTCCTACTACTTTGAGTGGTCCACGGTCACGGGACCCGGATCTCGCACGTGGTCTTGGTACTACCAGGACATGCCTTCTGCTTAAGTGCCTGGACTGGGTGAGATACGGCTGGGAAGCGTATTTGGACGCTGGTGTCAAGTAAGTGCTCGTGCCTAGAACTCCTGCTTGCTCTGTTGCCTCCAACGAAGACAGAGACCCTCGTCTAAATAAATAAATGAATGAATAATAAATGAATAAAAAAAAGCGAGGCGAAAACAGGAAAGAGGTGAGAGAAGTGGGATCAAGCATAATAATCATCGATCTCCCCTCGGGCCCTATAGAGGGGGAGTTTTTCCGCGGGAAAAACGGGGACGAGAACCCCCTCTTGAGAGGAATCACCTGTGATGATGAGCAGGAACCCGAGTCCCAACTGCGCCCCCGGAATCAGACAAGTCAGAACTGGAAGATCCCTGTCTGATGTGTGTCTTATTCACAGCCAAGACCCCCCTAGGGAACCGAACGTTGGCGACTAGTCTAAAGTAGGGAAGTAGAAGGGGTACGCTTGAAACTTCTAGACGTTACTTCAGTAGTAGTGTACGCATACTTAAGCGGAAACTCACGTGGTCTTTAATATACACTAAGGATTGTGTCGCACTGAATGATTCCACGATGAATGATATAAACCATCTCTGACTTTTCCGCATCTTATAGAAAATTATGTGTTTTTTTGGTTCATCATATATTAGAAAATACCCAGATGCAAGTGACATCTGAGTGCTGACGCAATTGTGCAGCCAAGAAATTTTAATATATAGTACAGGAACTTCATTTTTGTCATTTAAAAAAGCTGGATCATCCGCTCTCCTTGTATTTTATGAGAGGAATATTTTTCTCTCATCGCAGATATCAAAAGAAAACATCACAAAACACAATCAGAAAATAAAATCTTTAAAAACTCTTGCAGCAAAACAAAAGCTAGAAGCTAAAAAGGTTTTAGATCATTGGTTAAGAAGAAAGAAAACAATAGAAGAGAGTAACACCACTGATGAAGATCTAAATTCTTCCACATCCACATTGGTAGCTTCTGATGAAGATACAGATCCAAATATTGATGTAAATGAAAATAATGATGAACAACCTGCTCTTAAAAAGAGGAAAGGTATTCTGA